ATATAATACATATAACATATAAAATATGTGTTAATCAACCATTTATGTTATTGGTAAGGCTTCAATGGCAGGCTATTAATAGTTAAGTTTTGGAGGAATCAAAAGTCATATGCGAATTTTCAACTCCTTGGGGTCAGTGCCCCTAATCCTCATGTTGTTTAAAAATCAATTGTACAATGAATTAGGTATTCTAAAGGGCTATGTTATTATAATAAAATTGTAAATAACTAGTAGACAGTTTTAAAAGCATTTCTGGGCTCTCAAAAAATCAAGAAAAAACTATTGGTAAAGGGTAAAGAGGAGGAGAGAAGAGGGAGAGAGGGCAGTAAAGTAAGAAAAAAGAAACCATGTGTATAAGAATTGGAAAGGAAGAAATAAATGTCATTATAGATTATATGATTACCTAGAAAATCCAAGAGAATCCAGACAAATTATTATAATCAACAAAGAAGTTTAGATAGTTGCCTACAGCTTTAAAATCCAATGGCATTTTTATACCCCAGCACTAGACTAAAAATACAGAATTTTTAAAAAAAAAGATACCATCTAGAATTGTGTCTGCCCAAAGATGAGACTGATAGAATGCCTTTCCTCCCCCAGTCTTCCCATGCTCATGAGTCCTTTAGAACTGAATAACTTCCACATCTCCATTTTCCCCAACTTCTAGGTCTCAAAAAGAGAATTTTTCTCCTACATTATCTCTTTTTTATCCAGAGTTCTTATTTGACACCATATTTTATATTCCCAATTATTCTAGCATAGTCCATTTACATTTAGCCATATATATTGCAGTAGGTTACTTGCTTGCCATTATTTCCTCTCCTTCTCATTTCTGACTCCTATCTTGATAAGTCTCTGTTCTGACAGATTTGCTGTTTGGTTAATAGCCCATTATAGATTTTTCTCACATGTGGTAGCATATTCACATATCTCTCTTTCATCTTGTCAATAAATACTATCTTGGCTGAGTCCCTTTCTATCAGTAATGTACAGATGTTATTCCATTGCCTTCTAGCTTCTGGTCTGAAGATAAAAGTCTGCACTCTTTTTCTTTTGTAAGTAACATATATTCTGCCTGAAAGCTTGAAAGATTTTTTTATCCTTCAAATTCTGAAATTCTCCCAGGTGCCTTTTTCTTCTTCATAATCAGCCTCAAATTTGGTAAACCTTTCAGTCTACATACTTATGTAAGTCTTTCTTCACCTCAAGGGAATTGTTTCCTATTACTAGTTTAATTATTGTCTCTCCTCTATCGGTTCTTTCTCTAGTTCTTCTTCTGGGACTCCTGATATTTGCATGTGAAGTCCCATGGATGCGTCCTCTAAGTCTCTTCTTTTTCTTCAGGGTGTTTTTGTTCTTGTGAGATGTTTCTCACACTTGAACATCTAAACTACACTTAATCAGGTATTAACAATCAACATGCAATCCTTCAATTCAACTACTATAAACATATATTTTGAAAATTCAAAATACAATCTATTTTTAATCCCAGAGAGCATTTTTTATACTATCATTCAATCTCTTATATAGTTGCTTTTGTTTTTAAATCAAGGTATTTTCTGTTTCTTTAGCAGTTTTATTTCACTGAAGGCTGCTATCTGGGTGTTTTGTTTTGTTTTTGTTTTTTGCAGGACCTCACACTGTCGCGCAGGCTAGAGTGCAGTGGCATGACCATGGCTCACCTCGTTTCAGCCTCTTGAATAACTAGGACTACAGGCATGCACCACCACTCCTGGCAAAATTTTTAAAAAATTTTTGTAGACAAGGTCTTGCTATGTTGCTCAGGCTAGTCTTGAACTTCTGGGCTCAAGCAATTGTCCTTCCTTGGCCTCCCAAAGTGCTGTGATTACAGGCGTGAGCCACTGTGCCCAGTCTATTCATTTTTTGTGTGTCTGGATACTGGGTCCTCTTAGCTATACATCAGTTTTTCTTTGTCTCCTCACAGCATTGTTCACCCTTAGATACTTTAAATGATGCCAGCCTTGCTAGCAGCAGTAAGTTAATATATCATATGTTCTAGTCATCAAATTCATTTGGGGGCCTAATGAAGAAGTCTTCCTGTTCTTCTCACTGTCCATACCTCAAAAGTAGGAAATACTTATGTCACTTGTTGAGCTACCATGTTGGGTCTTCAGATCTCCATGGTCCAGGCTTTCTCCAGGAATTTCTGAGTATTTATTCTCTCTCTACTGCTCTCTAATGGCCCCATTTTGTCTTTGGCCCAGAGGGGAACAAAGTTCTTCACAAGCTTCTCAGTTACTTCCCTTAGAGAATCAAAGTCTAGTGCATTCCTTCCTCATCCTACCTGCCCACCACCCTCAGGGGAGTTTGCTGGTAGTTGGAAACAGAGAACAGCAAAAACACGGGTTCTAACAATGATCTTCCCAGAAACCCCCTCGGACCTCAAATTAAGAGAAAAAGATTTCAATGTGCCATCAATGTGCTTTCAAGAGATGTAAAGAAAGAAGCCAGGCTCAGTGGTTCAGCCTGTAATCCCACGCTTTGGGAGGCTGAGGTGAGTGGACTGCCTGAGCCCGTGGGTTCCAGACCCGCCTGGGCAACTTGGCGAGACCTTATCTCTACAATAAATAAAAAAATCAGCCGGGCATGGTAGTGCGTGCCTGTAATTCTGGCTACTCGGAAGGCTGAGGTGGAAGGATCTCCGGAGCCCAACAGGTCAAGGCTGCAGTGGCCGGGAGTGGCCAATGCACTCCAGTCTGGGTGACAGAGTGAGACTCCAACTCAAAAAGAAAAAAAAAAAAAAATGTAAAGAAGAATATGAAGAGACCTTCAAAAGGAATATTAAAATATCATTCATTCACAAATATCTGAGTGACCACTGTGTGCAAGGTACTATGCCTGGAGCAGAAACATCAGTATTGATTTCCAAAGTCATTCCGTGGAAAGGGGCCACACTGATTTTCTCTTCAAGTTCAATGTGAATATATAAAAGATTCTGATAAAATTTTAAAGAGTGAAATGAAAACAGATTTCCACTATGTATTCTCTTTATCATTAGACATACTTTTCTGGGATAGTTTAACATGAAAGAAGTTAAGGTTTTCATGGGCATTACCTACTAAGTATAGGGAAAATATATAGTAAAATAAATTATCTCTTTTTCTTCTTTAAAGCTGAGAAAGAACCCACAAGACAGGTTTCCCCTTTCCCCATATCTGCTAAATCTTCCTCTTTTTTTTTTTTTTTGAGTCAGAATCACACTGTCGCCCAGGCTGGAGTTCAATGGCATGCTCACGGCCACTGTGGCTTTCACCTACTGGGCTCAGGCCAACCTTCTGCTTCAGCCTTCCAAGTAGCTGGAACTACAGGCATGTGCCACAACACCCAGCTAATTTTTTGATTTATTGCAGAGATGAGGTCTCACCAAGTTGCCCAGGCTTGTCTCAAACCCTTGGGCTCAGGCAATCCTTCTACCTCAGCCTCCCAATGTGCTGGGATTATAGGCATAAATCACTGCACTCGGCCTTTTTTTTTTTTTTTTTGAGTTGGAGTTTCACTCTGTCACCCAGGCTAGAGTGGTGGAAAAATCATGGCGACGACAGCCTTGACTTGCTGGGCTTAGGCAATCCTTCTGCCTCAGCCTTCCAAGTAGCTGGGACTACAAGCGCATGCCACCATGCTCAGCTAATTTTAAAAAAAATTTATTGTAGAAATGAAGTCTTGCCATGTTGACTAGACTAGTCTTGAACTCCTGGGTTCAAGCAATCCTCTCACCTCAGCCTCCCAAAGTGCTGGGATTATAGGTGTGAACTACAATGCCTGGACTTCTTCACTTTTATATATCTTATTCCTCAGCTGGGAAGCTATCAACTTGTGTTTTACCATAACTGTAAATATGCACACAAAGCCCAAGCATATATATACAGGTTCTTCTATCATCTCATAGGGCTCTAGGCACTCTGTGAATTCAGAAGAATTCATGTGAAAGTACAGATAATCCAGATTTTTATAAAGGAAAAAGGAAGAATACAACAAGTTAAAACATTTGTTAGCCAGATGTGGTGGCTCAAGCTTATAATCCCAGCACTTTGGGAGGTTGAGGTGAGAAGACTGCCTGAGCCCAGGGGTTCAAGACCAGTCTGGGCAACATAGCGAGACCTCGTCTCTACAATAAACCAAAAAATTAGCAAGGCATGGTGGCACAAGCCTGTAGTTCCAGCTATTTGGAAGGCTGAGGCGGAAGGATGGCCTGAGCCAAGCAGGTTGAGGCTGCAGTGGCCATGAGTGTACCACTGCACTCCAGGCTGGGTGACAGAGTGAGACTTCTACTCATAAAAAAAATAAAAATAAAAATAAAAAAGCATTTGTTGGGATATGTGAGGAGAAAACAAAAAGTATGAGAATCTAGAAAGGTTCTAAACACAAAGATGGAGAAGGACTTGGGGAAATACAGCTTTTGCTGCTGGCCTTCAGGAGACTCTTCCAAGCGTTCCAGTGGTCTGTTCCTACTAGAGCTACTGGCTGAACAATCAGTCATGTAGTCCAAGTCAAAGCTGGAAGATGACTAAAATGGTCTCATACTGTACAATAAAAAGTTTAAGCCGGGCTCGGTGGCTCAGCCTGTAATCCTGTGCCTTTGGGAGGCTGAGGTGAGTGGATTGCCTGAGCCCGTGGATTCGAGACCCGCCTGGGCAGCGAGACCTCATCTCTACAATAAATCAAAAAATCAGCCGGGCGTGGTAGCGCATGCCTGTAATTCTGGCTACTTGGAAGGCTGAGGCAGAAGGATCGCCAGAGCCCAGCAGGTCGAGGCTGTGGTGGCCGGGAGCGGCCACTGCACTGCAGTCTGGGCGACAGAGTGAGACTCCAACTCAAAAAAAAGAGAAAAAAAAAAAAAGTTTAACATGTTTTTCAACAGACAGACTGAAGTTACTGTTGACAGTCTACACACTCCCACCCTACCGCACCCAAGATGCAGCTTGATGGTGTCTAGGACAATAAGTAAAAATCTAATAAATGAAAATTTTAAAAGTATATACCTGTTTTAGGCCATAATGCATTGACCGCAATTTCGCCTTTAAATTCTTCTGCCATTCCAAGCACACACATAGACATTCCATACTTAGCAATGGTATATGCTGAAAGAAACCACAATTAATAATTTAGTTAAGAAACAAACTAATTTGTGAGTAGAAATAATCATATCCTTCCTATTACTATTTTCTCCCCGATATATTTTTTAGAATTCCTTTTAATAATGTAAAATACATAAAATATAATGTTTTAATGTACTATTTTCTTTTTTTGAGTTGGAGTCTCACTCTGTCGCCCAGACTGGAGTGCAGTGGCACACTCCTGGCCACCATAGCTTCCACCTGCTGGGCTTCGACAATCCTTCTGCCTCAGCCTTCCAAGTAGCCGGAACTACAGGCGTGTACTACCACGTCCGGCTAATTTTTTTTATTTATTGTAGAGATGAGGTCTCACCAATTTGCCCAGACTGGTCTTGAACCCGCGGGCTCAGGCAATCCTCTTGCCTTGGCCTCCCAAAGTGCTGGGATTACAGGCTTAAGCCACTGCACCCAGCCAATTAACTAGTTCTATGTATTTCCATCCTAATATTTTATTAAAAGAAAAGAGATATTAGTAAACTTTCATTTTTTAATACTATGAGAGTAAATTATATATATATATATATATATATATATGTGTGTATATATATATATATTTTTTTTTTTTTTTTTTTGAGTCAGGGTCTCACTCTGTTGTCCAGGCTGAAGTGCAGTGGCACAATCACAGCTCACCACAGCTTCAACTTTCTGGTCTCAGGTGATCCTTCTGCTTCAACCTCCTGAGTAGCTGGGACCACAGGTGTGCCACCCCACCCAGTTAATTTTTTTTTTCTTCATAGAGACAGAGTCTTGCTATGTTGCCCAGGTTGGTCTCAAACTCCTTGAGCTCAAGCAATATTCCTGCCTCAGTCTCCCAAAGTTTTGGTATTATAGGTGTGAGCCAGCAAACATGGCCCTTAACTATTTCTCAATATGATTATTCAAAGAATGAAAGTAATTATTTAAAGGTAAACTACTGCTAGTAAAACAACAATTAAAAGTTGTATATTCATTTAACTTAGTCAATTAAAGCAGAACTTCTTTTAGGTTTGCTTTGTGGGTTCCCATTCCAAGTACTTTTCCAAATGCTAATAAATTATGTTGAAATAAAAACTAAGTACCTGATATAACTATTTTAGAGAAGGCGCCCATACATCAATCTTGTTACCTAGCATATTCACATTAAGTCATTAGTTTGCTATGAATGATAAAGTATTTCATGGATCATCTTTAACCAACTTTATTGAAGAATAAATTATGGCCAGGCATGTTGGCTCACGCCCATAATCCCAGCACTTTGGGAGGCAGAGGCGAGAGGATTGCCTAAGCTCAGGGGTTCGAGACCAGCCTGGGCAACTTGGCAAGACCTCGTCTCTACAATAAGTCAAAAAATTAGCCAGGTGTGGTGGCATGCACCTGTAGTTCCAGCTACTTGGAAGGCAGTTAGAGGCACTCTAGCCTGGGCAACAGAGTGAGACGCCAACACAAAATAATAATAATAATAATAATAAATTACATGCAAAATAAAACACACCAATTGGGGCATAAAAGAACTTTCTAGGATGATGGAAATCCATATCTTGATTAGAATATTGGTTATACAGGTACATACATTTGTCAAAATGCATCAAACTGAACCATTAAAATATTAAGATGTGTGAATTTTACTGAATGTAATCTATATCTCAATTTTTAAAATTACAGATAAAAATTAAGAATCTACTATCCCAAATCAGAGACTCTACTTCTCTGCTTTGGCAGTAAAAATTTAATGTTGGATACTATGTACAGGTTGTGATTATATCAAAGATACATGCCTTTAATTATTCAAAACAAAGAAACCACAAACCCCCCCACCCTACCACCTACCACAGTGCTGTTTGAACCACACCGGATTTAAATTCAGTGGTGGGCTGAGATTGAGGATATGTGCAATTTTACTCTTTTTCAAATAAGGAATACATGCTTTAGATCTGAAAGCAAAAGAAAACACAAGTCAATTAATAGTTTTCTAACAATTTGTCCACTTTTTCAAGTTATATTTCAAACTAGTCATATAGAGTAACTGAACTGGCTCAGTAATCTGTAAGGAGACTTTTTGGGTTTTTGGTAGGGCACTTTTATTTGCTTTCTAGAAGGAAGAGAGAAAAAACAACTAATTTTCATCATTTGAAACACTGCTTAATGACCTAACAATGTGATCTGCTTGATGAAAATAATTAAATACATGACTTAAATTAAATTGGCCTTAAGCCCAATTGAGATGATCTTGAATCACAACCACCCCAAATGCTGCCTCCTCAACACACACATACAATTTTGAGAAACAGTTAATGTACTTGTCAATCAGCACTGTGATAAAGAACACGGGTGTTCAAGTCGAACAGACCTGGGTTCAAATCTTGCTTCTGCCCCTTCATTGTATGACCTCAGACAAATTATATAGCATTAAAATGCAGTTTTCTCCTCTGTAAATGCTGGCATTACTCACTACCATCTAGAATTGACTAAGGGATTAAAATTAGATGATAAAGGTACATGTGATACTTAGGATGGTGCATATACTAAACATAAGACAAACAATCATTTAGTATTGTTATTAGTATTACATATGCTGACTTATTTAACCTTTATAGGCATAGTATTTCTACTACATTCGTACTTCTACTACATTGGAACAGTAATTTAGTAATATAAGTCCCAATATAGTCCCAAATTTACTTTGTATCAATATAAAATGCATTATGCCTTTGGGAGCAATATAAAGTTTTGTCTTTTATTTTTATTTATTTATTTTTTAGAAAGCAGGATTTATTGAGACAGAAAAGCTCCCATAGTGGGAGGGGACCCGAGGTATTGCCAAATTTTGTTTTTTTAAAAGTCACTCATAAGGTAGACGGTTTAATAAAAGATACAGGTCCAGTATTTCTAAAATTTTAATTATTAAGTTACAACATTTCACAGCTAAATAATATATTATAGTTTAATTAATTTATAGTTTTACTTCACATGCAATGACTCCTAGTACTTTGAACTAGTCTACTTTTCTTTCAAGTCAGTTTCTTTATTACCAAATGTAAAATACTAGTGTTACCAATAGCAACATCTTTTCAAGCTTACAAATCAAATATAATCAATGACATGAAAGGGCTTTTTGCACATATTGTTTTTTGTTTCCAAAGGGGCTTGACTTTTATGGGGATGAGGTGGAGAGGGGCAAACAATATTGCAGCTGAGTTTCATTGAAACAGTGAAACAACACCTCAAAGTATCAGTAGAAAACAAACTAAATCTATTCCAGGCAATAAGCTTACATTTTACACTCAAAAGGAAAGAGCTCAATTCATTTACATTATAAGCATGAGCTCTCTTTTAATCTATCAGACAAAACCTTCCACCCGTACTTTGCCAGCCTGGCCCTCCACATTGCTGGTCCTACGTCAGGGGCCATCTATCACAGCAACATACCTTCTTATGTATCACATTGAAAAATCTCAGCACCACGACTTAGATACAAACACCTTCAGGTTAATTTAGTTAAGTTTATTGAAAACTTACTGGGTGCCAGGTACTGCATTTATTACTTTTCATGAATAATTTGATTTAATCAAGGTTGCAAATTCAAAGGTCTATAAGGCATTTGAGTAAACAAAGTGGGCTAGGAATGAGAAAAATCAACTGTTCAGAAACACAACTGAACTATATCACTAAACTTCTGTAAGCATTTACCATGATATAAACACACATAATACTGGAGCGTATATACTAAATTAAATATAAAAATACAAATTAAAATAGAAATATTTCATTGTAAATTTTCTTTTTATAACATACCTTTCATATATGGCCAAAAACCTGACAGTTTTCTTTGGCCCAAAGATCAATGTCAGGTTTTTCATTTGGCATTGCAACATGCTTTTAACTGGAAGCAATATTTAATTGTATTTAGTGTTACATAATTTTTATATTTTTAAAATAGCTGTTCATAAAGTGTTAAAAGCTAAACTCATACTTAGTTTTTAGCATTTTGCTGGCCTACAGCTCATAACTTCCATTTGCAGTTCTTCAACTATACTAATAATATTCAATGAGAAAGGTTATTGACAAGGTTAGCTCATTTTTCTACAGTTGAAAGTTTTTTTTTTCTTTGAGTCGGAATCTCACCCCATTGTCCAGGCTGGAGAACAGAGGCACACTCACGGCTACCCCAGTATCAACCTGATGGGCTCTGGCGATCCTTTCACCTCAGCCTTCCAAGAAGCCAGAACTACGGGCATGCCCTACCACATCCAGTTAACTTTTTTTTTTTTATTGTAAGGAAGACAAACATATGGACTTCGCAACAACTTGGATGGATTTGGGGTAGATCATACTCAGTGATCTATCACAGAAACAAAGAACAGAGTACCATATGTTCTCACTCATAAGCGGACCTTAAACAATTATAATACTATAAGAAAGGGAAACTGTCAGGGGAGGTGGGTGGCATTGGCAGTTGAGGGAAACTGCTAGGGGAGGGAGGGGCATACCTTATCAACAAGGGTACCTGCACAACCAATGCTTGTATACCTAACACTGTTAGGTTTGTATACCCATATCTTTATAATAAAAATAAATAAATAAATAAATAAAATAAAAATATTTATTGCAGAGACAAGGTCTCGCCAAGTTGCCCAGGCTGGTCTCAAACCCAAGGGGGCTCAGGCAATCCACTCGCCTCGGCCTCCCAAAGTGCTGGGATTACAGGCTGAGCCACAGAGCCCAGCCTGTTTTGTTTTTAATTGAAACTTCAAATCTAAGAATGTGCTTTAGGCCATTACTTTTATTTTTGAAAATGACCTCAATATAGGCAAGTGAACTAAATTATTCTTGCCAAGTAGGCTTTCTAAAGACTAATTTCAAAAGAAAAAAGCAAAGAGAATCAAACATTTGTGTGCACATAAATCATATTGTCAGTTTAAAAGGCCAAGTCTATAGCTACGATTCCTAATTTTGACAAATCTACATACAATTCAATGCTTTACTTGAATTGCTCATCCCTTGGAAAGACAATACGTCCATTTTAAACTTTTTTAGCAGGGAGCAACTGCTAGTGAACAATGCAATAAACAAACTTAAATTCTGCACCCTTGTAAAATATATCTATATTAGCTTAGATTTCAGTAAGTCTAAAGTTAACACTAATCCCTATTATAGCACTGCCTAGTTATAATGACTAATTTTGGCAAATATACCTTAAACTTTCCAAGACATTTTTCAGTATGTCACAAGCCATTTACCGATATTCATGTCATGAATACCTAGAGTAAAAATTTTGTAATCCAATCAAGATTTTCCTGATATTATAAATAAATATGAGGAGGGACCCCCAAAAAACAGAATTATCTTTGTAGTATACTTGGAATTTGTTCCTCTGGATCAAACAATCTACCAAAGTTTTTATCTGGACGTTTAGAGAAGGTGGCATCACAATTTGCGGAAGAAACATTCTAAGTTGTGGCAAACAGGTGACTTCCGCTATGACAATGCACCTGCCCACACCATGCTGAGTGTTCAACAGTTCTTGACCACAAACAGCATGACCCCTGTGTCCACCGTCCCTATTCACCCAGTCTTTTTTTGTTTCCCTGGATGAAAAGGGTCCTCAAAGAGAAATGGTTTGCCCACGTGGAAGAGGTGAGACAAAAAAATGCAAAAGCATTAAAAGGCATCAAAATTCACAAGATCAAAAACTGTTTTGAGCAGTGGAAAAAGCATCTTGATAGGTGTAGTGCATCAAATGGAGAGTACTTTGATGGTGACTAAAATTTAAACATGTAAGAATAAATACAGAATTTTTTTGTAAATAAATTCCAGTTTGGGGGGGATTGTCCCTCATATAAATAGGTACACGGTACAGGTTGAATAACACTTATCCAAAATGCTTGAAACCAAAAGTGTTTTAGATTTCAAATTTTGAAATATTTGCATTATACTTACCAGTTTAACATCCCTAATCTGAAAATCCAAAATCCTAATTGCTCCAATGAGTGTCATTTAAAAAGTTTTGGATTTCGTAGCATCTTGGAGTTTCAGATTAAGGATTCTCAACTATATTTTTATATTTGTGGTTTCACCATGTATACTAGGAACTGCCACAAATCATTAAACTTATTCATACAATATGCTCCTCTAATGCTTAATTACACAGGCTGAGCAATAATATTCCTGGTTAGGTTTATATTTGTAAACCCTTCCTTAATCAGATGTTTATATTCAACTGAAATTCTTTCACAAAGTTGACAGCTATAAAAGATTTTGGGAGCCGGGCTCAGTGGCTCAGCCTGTAATCCCAGCACTTTGGGAGGCTGAGGTGAGTAGATTGCCTGAGCCCGTGG